TAGTACGCGGAGCAATCTGTAGAGCTGGAAGCTGAGAACTGGCGACTTTCTAGTGCAACTTTAGTACGCGGAGCAATCTGTAGAGCTGAAAGCTGAGAACTGGCGACGTTGTAGTACAACATTAGTACGCGGAGAAACCTGTCGAGCTGGACGCTGAGAACTGGCGACTTTGTAGTACAACTTTAGTACTTAGTACGCGGAGTGACTGGGGAGCTGGAGGCTGAGAACTGGCGACTTTGTAGTACAACTGTAGTACGCGGAGCAACCTGTGCAGCTAGAAGCTGAGAACTGGCCACTTTGTAGGACAACTTTAGTACGCGGAGTATCTGGGGAGCTGGACGCTGAGAACTGGCGACTATGTAGTACAACTTTAGTATGCGGAGCAACCTGTGGAGCTGGAAGCTGAGAACTGGCCATTTTGCAGTACAACTTTAGTACGCGGAGGAGTCATCTCTCGCGACTGAGTCATCTCTCGCTGCTGAGTCATCTCTCACGACTGAGTCATCTCTCGCTGCTGAGTCATCTCTCGCTGCTGAGTCATCTCTCACTGCTGAGTTATCTCTCGCTGCTGAGTCATCTCTCGCTCCTCAGTCATCTCTCCCTGCTGAGTCATCTCTCACTGCTGAGTCATCTCTCGCTGCTGAGTCATTTCCCGCTGCTGAGTCATCTCTCGCGACTGAGTCATCTGTCGCTGCTGAGTCATCTCTCGCGACTGAGTCGTCTCTCGCTGCTGAGTCATCTGTGGTTGCTGAGTCATTCTCATTGCTGAGTCATCTCTCGCTGCCCACTCATCATACACCACTCATCATACACCACTCAACATACACCACTCATCATACACCACTCGTCTTACACCCCTCATCACACAAGACTCATCATACATCACTCATCATACACCACTCATCACAACCCAACACTGGTTACAGTTGATTGTTTTGTCAACAGGTCAGTTTGTACTGAAGGTTGAAGTTTTGGGCGCAGTTTATACTGACAGTTTATACTGACAAGTCCGGAGCGCGTGCGTTTGACTGGGGGACGCGCGTGTTTGAGAGAACCGGAACACTCCTATAGGTCAATTTGTTCTTATAGGAAACTTCCGCCGCCGGCTTGCCCGGGAACTGCTTGGATATGTTGCGTCTACATAGACATAGCCAAGTCATTTGCGTGTTATGTCGCATGGAACCGCTGGGAACCACTTGGAACCACTTTTTGGCCAGGCTGCACCAATGGGATCAAACATTGCAGTGTCCGGAATGTAGGTGGCATCGGGTGGCATGGATCAACACTTCCCCACAAGGAGGACATCCGTGGGTGTGTTCCATCCGAATCACCACAAAGATCCGCAATTACTTGCTTATTTGTAACTTGTTTGCTTGTGTACCATCACCATCACGCAACTTTTGGAGTAGAATCGCACACAAGAAAAAACACTCTAGCAGCTAGCAGTAGTTACAGTAGAGCATGCAAGCAAACATGCCGGACTTGCAACCCGCACGCCGGAAATCGCGGGTTTGGTGTCCAACTTGGTGGTCCTGGTGCTACCCATGGTTTGATGCGCATGATGCGCCCATGGTTGGGGCATGTTGGAGTAGGCGCGATTTTTGTGGACGTGATCTGGTTTCCAAGGCTGTGAACTCAAATTGGCTCAAAATGACTCAAATATATGCAATGATCTAATCCAGAATCCAAAGTGTGTTGACATGCCTGCTGGATTATCGTCCTAGTTGGAAGGCGTTTAGATGGCCACAGGATGCCACAGCTGCATAGTCCTGCATAGTTTGTAAGGATGCAACAATCGGAACAGTCAGTGGCAATTGCTTGTAGCTTGTTCAGCTCCATGTATGAAACTCATTTATCTGGGCAGTTTAAATTAATTCCTAGGTCGTCGGTTATTTTCATTTTTTCACAACTAAATTTAGTGACGTCGTCTAAATTACGAAGTTATTTTTACGTCGTGTGCCCTAACGCCCCCAGCCAGCCAACACGCTGGCCAGCCAGGGGCGACCAAAGCTGAAGCCACGTGTCCACCTGCGCGTGAAAAGGCTCTGGTTAGGTTCTGCTGTTGTGTTTGTTTTGGTCGTAAAGGGAAAGGTTTACGGGTCCAAAACATTTTTTGGGGTCTGGTTTTCTTTGGTACGGAAACATGTTGTTGGAAAGTTTCCTATTGTATCTTCCTGGTTAGTGGAACTGGAGCGATTTCAGTGGGTCTTTTGTGGTTAAAACAATTTTTGAAGGTGTAGTTTGTTCTACTACAAAGGGAAAACCTTGTTGGGGATCAGTTTTGTCCCTTCCAATTGTGTATTCCTAGTTTGTTGAACTAGGGCGTTTTTACTTCTTACGAAGGGGAACATGTTTTGTATCCAAAACCTATTTTTGGGGGTGTAGTTTGCTTTACTACAAGTGAAAACCCTTGTTAGGGAACAGTTTTGTTGCTTCTTGTTGTTTATTCCTAGTTTGTTGAACTAGAGCGTTTTTACTTCTTACAAAGGGGGAACATTTCCTCTGACTGGGTGTTTTCCTCAGCTTGGTCAGTACATGCAACAAAACAAGGGCATGGCCAACAATCCACACTCACCCCCACAAAAAAACTGAACTCAATAGCTAAGCCAAAAAAATGACTTGCAAGCATTTTTTCCCAGCGTAGTTCGCCGATCTACAACCAAATAAAGCCCCAACAATCCACCTTAAGGCCGCGAGCCCTCGAATCCTAGTTCGGCGAACTAGGCCCGAAATCGTTTTTGGGGGGCCCTTCTGAAAAGGAGAGCTTCTTTGTTTCCAGGCCCAGAACGTGGAAACCCGACAACTAGCCATGAAACAAGCCCCTGTAGTGAATGAAACTAGTATTTGGACCATATGCTTCACCTATGACCTCGGTGAAGTTTATGGGTTCGACTCCCCCTGCCCCCCCTTGTTTCCTTTCGGTGGGTTTGCCCAAAATCTTGCTTCAAGAGACAAATTTGACAACACGCAAAGGAAAGCTAGCCAAAACAATTTTTTCCCAGCGTAGTTTGCCGAGCTACAACCTAATACAGCCCCAACAATCCACTTTTAAGGCCGCCAGGCCTCAAATCCTAGTTCGGCGAACTAGGACCGAAAACGATTTTGCCAGGAAAGAACAAGTCAGGTTGGGTGTGAAAGGGAAAACAACCAGACCATTACTATTTCTAGTTCCAAGGATCTTTTTCGTCCACAAGCTCTGGCTGAATGCGCCGTCTCTGAGAGGCTTTGGGGCTTGGGAACATTCTTGGCCGAATGCGGTCCGTAGGTGTTGTTGGGCACTCATCATGGCTAGAGGGCCGCTTCATGGGGCACAACTAAAAGAACTTCAAAACTTCCTGACCTCGAAATTGGGTAGTGTTTTTTTAGTGTTGTGGAGAGTGAGCAGGTGAGGCATGACTTCTTAGTTTTTTTTTTGCAAACTCGAGCCCGAAAACTCAAGCAAAACTCAAACTGACTGACATCCTCTTGCCCCATGCAAATCCAGTCCTAGATCCAGTACCCTGCCCACGCCCGCCTGCGCCTCCAAAATCTCTGCCAGGACTGTGAAGTCGATGAAGTGTGTGTGTGTGTGTTTTGCGTGTGTGTGTGTGTGATGTTAGTATGACCATAACTATAACTTAATTTCAGGGTCTTGCTCGTTATTTCGGGGTGACGTCGGTGACGTCGTTTTAAATTGCCTAGATTTATTTAGAAGTCACACTCGTGCGCTTGCTTGAACAACTTGGAAAAAGTCCTTGAGCCTGGAAACAAAAGCAGTTGAAAGCTTCGGTAGTGTGATGCGGGACAGCTATGCCGCTTCTGATGCACATGGCATCATATATGGTTCAAGTTTAAGGGAAGATCTAGGAAAGCCATGGTTTAGTGTGAAAACAAGGGTTTCAGACTTTCCCTTAAACCAATTCATTGATCTTGGGATTCTTGGGCTTCTGATATTCTTGGACGTTGACCGTCTTGCCTTTCTTTCTGCGGCTCCCGGAGTGATGGATCGGTTCGGCAAACACACCTTTTCCACTCCGTCGCACAAAGCCGACTATGCCCTCAAGCATTGTCCCAAGGAAAACACTTGGAGGTCAGCCAGTCAACATTGGCAAACGGCTCGTCAATAGTAGATATAGTAGCTTGCTTCTGCTTTCCTGTTTAGCTTATGCATGATATGGACCAAGCACCTCGTGTCGAATGAGAGGTCCAACTATCCTACGCTGGGCTCAACCTTTGCGGCATCTTCTCAGACACGCAGCCTCCTGACATGCCAAGAAGGTTCTGTTCAGTGAGTGGGAGTTCATCTGAGCACACTCAAGCCGCCTGGTGATGGATGTCTTCCAAGGATCATTCTGTCGTGAGAACCCTTTACGCCTATCTACGGCTTTGATGTGGAAATTCCATGAAATTCCAACACCAACATGCACAGCAAGTTGTGGGCCTTTGGGTCCAGGCTAATCAAGCAGTTGGTCGCATAATGCATATATATATAAATATATATATAGGGCTGATGCCAAAGCCATGAGTGTCACAAGTGCCTACTTGCAAATTGATGGGGGAAAACGCTGCGCCTCAGCGTCGGACGAAGCGCTTCTCGGTCTTCAGATCACTCACCTCGATCACTCCCCAGCCCTGTCAACCCGAATCATCACGTCAAGGCCAATGGGTTGTGATGTTCTTACATCCTTTTGAACGGAATGATGGGGAGACCCGCCGTCTGTTCAAGGCAAACCCATAGTATGTTGCTCACACAATTGGAGTACTTGAGCATACCATAAAATAGTTGCAAAGTATTCTTTGGGCGTCTGCCCCATAGTATTCATCTTCAAGAAACACCAAGGATGTGTTCAAGTCTGTGGAAGATTGCAAGGAGCAAAGCCCTGCTTCCCACAGTTGCCTGATCATGCTGACTGCATGCTCTTTGAAACACGCCATACTTTCGGCCCTTGATGGCTTCTGCCCCACTTGTGGGGTGGACGGGCACCATGACCTGGCAACCTGTGTCTCTCTGTGGCCCCAGGCTATGCGGGTGATCTCTGCTAACTCTTCAGGGCCATGGGCAAAAGGGCAAGCGGTGCCACGAGTGCCTCATGAGAAGCTCGCGGGTTCCATAGCGAGGAGGTGCAAATGGTGCAGACAGCTGAGGTACTCCAACTATTGAATGGTGGTCATGCAATGTTGTGCGTACAGTTCAGTCAAGTGGTGTACAAAAAGGTATGCAAAGTGAGTAAACCTGTACAGTGAAAGCAGCCAAAATCCAACGCCTGAAGCCACTTCACTCCATAGGGTGCTATGTTTGTTCACTTCCAAATGTATGCAGGTGAGAAGTAATGAACTCAAATGGCCACGGGTGGGCTCGAGGACTCTCAAGCTTAAGCCGCTGACACTGGCCCTTCTTGAAGTATAGACCTCACTTCTGCTTTGCACACAGGAAGTCGGCAGCGCACTTGCACATGCATCTACGTTACATATCAGCACACACAGCTGCAAACTGTCCGAGCGAAACCAATTCCATCCAATTCCTTAGAAGCCTCAGGGTGCCCGCAACTTTTCTGATCGAATCCGGACCTTCTGCTCGATTTCCAAAATTGCCGAGCAGTTGCCGAGCAATAAAGTTAGATGGGCAACGTGATAATCATGAGGAGTTGCTGACTTCTACCTAGTTTCGCACCAGCTCAGCATAAACTCCAACAAGTGGCATTCCTCCGCTCGCTTCTTGTGTAGCGGCCTTAGCCAAAGTAAAATCTCTGACACAGCAGCAAGCATCTTGTCACTACACATCTGAATTTGCTCACAATCCTTCCCGAGATATATTCACGTCAAGCACACGATAGATCCTGATAGACTATCAAGTTCTCTTGTCGATGTAGTTTAGAGCAACGAATCGAAGGGACCAATGAATCGAAAGGAGCGACCCACGACCGCAGCCTTTTGCCAGCAGCACTGGTCAACACCTCACCCTCCCGCTGTTCAGCTCTGAGCTCCCCGAGCCGAGGTTGTAGGTCTTGGATGTCATGCGAAAACTCGCAGACCGTCTGGCGCCAACGGACCCATCTCAGAGCATTTATTTTTAAAGGTGGTGAGAAGTGAAAGAGCTGCACAGCCATGAAGGCAAAAAGGGGCATCAAGACCCCAACAAGACGAGCGCAATGGCAAAGCAAGCAATGCAGAAAACCAATGTCAATGAGTAAATTCTTGATATTCTTACAAGAGTCTTGCAACACTGTCATGGGGAGCCTTTCTGCATTGGCCCAAGAGGAACCACTTGCAAGGTACCTGCAGCTGCAAGAACATTCAAGTGCTGGTGCCAGCGCAAACGTAGATGACGAGTCAGTGATGGCCCATCTTTCCAATGAAACATAAACACACCCAAGTGTTAAATAGCATGAATCATACAAGCACTTTGGATCCCATATTGATTCAATAGATTGTTATTGATAGATCCATCTTCAACAGAGATCCACAAAGCCACCTCTCTTGTTGCTTGTTTCGTCATGGATAATGACCCGTTCCGAACAATGCAGACAGGTTGACAGCCAGGAAACCCGATGACAAACAAACATCAGTGCAGTTCACGCGCCCGGCAAAGGGCGAGTGAAGCTCATGAAAGGAAAAGAGAAGCGCGGCGCAACAACGGCAGGTTGCGCAACCACACCATCAGCACCCCACCTTCGATTTGGCCAAGGACTGGAGCCGAGCCACTAGGTCGTTCGCCTGACGGTCGAACATTGACAATGTGGAGCATGGTTTTGTATAGATATGAATGCTTGAGTTTCATTCGCGCCTCCGTGGACTAATTCATTCTCTGTACAAAACTGCTATTTGTGCTCCCACTTGGTTTCCTGTACTTCGATCTCAACCCCTGGTACCCCAGTGCCGGATTGGAAGGGCAAAGGGACGTGCCGGGATCGATGCGCAAGTTGAGCAGAAAAGCTCGGCTGACAAACTTCCGCCTGCATCCTGCAACTGAGGGCTGCTTGTTCAGCAGCCTGGCGCGGCTTCATTTGGAAAAGGATGCTGGGAGGACCCAAGAGTTACATATAATGAGGGTGAAAAGCATCGCATGCCATTAAGCACAACAATGACACGACATTATTGTGAGTCTGGCTTCGGACTAGGCACCTGCCCTCAAGTAGAAGTACCTTGTAGAGAAACATCTTGAAGATAAGCACCAGTAGTAGAGTTTCAGCTTTTGCTTAAAGAGTCGAGATGGACAGTGAAGGCCTAGTAGCAGTGGTATTTAACATCCACATTATGATCCATATTTGCCTGCCATTTCGCCCTATATATTTCTGTATAACATCTCCCTGCTACACCTGCCTCTGCAGATTGCACGGTGACCGACCGCACGCTGGCCGTCCATTCATCCTGACCCCAGGCTGCTGCGCTTTCGCTCTCAGCGTTCGTTCCGGCGGGTGTACTCCAAGGATGATTACACTTCACGAGGCCCTTGATTCATTCACCCCCTAGTACCAGAATCCTAGTGCTGGAAGCCGGAAGCCAAGGGCAATGTCTAGGTGATGTAAAGGAAGGAATTCGGAATAAGCAACAAGGAGAACTCAGCCAACTACCCTATGTCGGCAGTCAAGCTTAGGAGGAATTGCTTGGTCGGATACCGTTCTGCCAGAGAGATGCTCCGCAAGCCAGTTTCGTACCCAGCAAACTGAGCCAACGAAGCAACCCACCGCCTCCAGCGGCTGTCCAGGCATAGGCGGTGGAAAGCAGCTCGCCAAAGAATTGGCAGCCTGAGTCGACAACAATTCCTCGTACGGTACAACAAGGCACAACAGACTCCTGAAACATGCCAATGAAAAGTCATCCAAAGATATCCAAAGAGCGTTCCACATTTTCCAACACGTGCGACCTGAGCATCGCTATGTTTTCAACATGGTTTCAACCAGCGACCTGGAACTCTCCGAGGGCTGAACCCACGTCGCCCGTGCGGCCTTGAAAACGCCAAGGACGGACCCGGCAACGGAGACGTGAATCATGTGGACGGGGTAGAACATGATCTAAATGGCTAATACCATCTAATACCATTGTCTATCTATATGCCTGGGTCTGTCTCAAAAATGAAAAGCTCTAACATGCCCTAAGCCTAAGCAATGAGGTTTTTAGTCTTCCTTCGCCAGGGATTTACGGGCAACCTTCCGGAAATCTTGAGACATTCAAACAATTCAGCAAATGATATGCATGCTTGCAGCTGCCAAGCAGGAGGACGTACAGCACTCCCTTCTATCCGTCGATTCCTGTGACAAGGAGCGTTCTTGCTTTAGATTCCACAGGTTGGGCTTCCCACTGCTTGTTGCGCTGCATCAGCTAACGCTGCTACTTGGTTTGGATCTGACCTTAAGCCATCAGCAGTAGCCAAAATTGGGAGTTTCCAGGCTGGTGAATTCAGGAAGTCTTGCCACAACTCATATGTCTTCATGATAAACATGAAAACCTGAGAGCCTCGCTCAGCCCCTGGAAGGCAAGCAGCCGCTGAGGCGGCGGTTTGTGCTGACCTGAGCCACCAAAGGGTCCTTTCTTCCAACCACCAACAGCCAATCCAGAATGCTGAAGCGTGCTGAACGCCAGCAGTGGGGATTTGTATGGATTTGTACATCTTTGAAGGAGAAGCTGGATGTGCAGTGCTCAATGCGTCAGGTTTGGATGGATGAACGCCGTTAAAACTCCCGGAGAAACAACAATCTTCAGAAAGGCTCTTCATCGCAGCTGAGCGGTTTTGGGCTGAGCTACTGGAGGGTCTGGAAATTCTCTGGAAATGTTCCAAGTTTATCAAAAGTCATTGGTTATCAAAGGGGTTGGAGATTGATGTCCTTGGGTCGGCACTCTTCAGCCAGCTGTGCCAGCATGTACATCTGAGCAGCTGTTTGGTTTTCCTTGGTCATTGCGCAGGAACCCCACCAAGAGACACAGCATGACTTCCATCGAACGGTGAAGCAATCACATCGAACAACATGTCGAGCAATCCATCACGTCGCCCAAGCAGTGCGCCTTACAAGTCCTCCAAGCACATATTTGCTTCTGCAACTGCTTGATAGGATCCCGGTTGGCATCTTCAAGCTACACCGGATTTCCCCCAAATCCATCACAAGCCCATCCTTAAGAGCAGGACAGTACCGTCTGCCGGAGGAGGCCTCAGACAGCTTCCTTTATGTATTTGTGGATGCCTGTCGGGCAAGGCAAGAATATGGAGCTTAAGGTGACGTAGCAGCATGAATATGATACAGTGATGCAGTGATACATGCAGTCCCTCCAGCCCCGCTGCTGCAATCAATACTGATATGTGAATTCTTGCAACGCTGAAACCCATAATGAACTGATTCCCAGGCCGTCCTAACCAACACAAAAGGTCTCCTCCTCATGAAGAGGGTAGTGTTCCCAAGCTCTGTGCGTGTTTGGAAAGCCGCTTCTTTTCCTGTGACAGCTGGGTGTCCGACTGCGAAGGCATTGCTCCGCCAGACCTTGGCAATGGCGAGTGCACACGCGATTGGCAAAGCCTGGGTATTCCCCCCAATGTCCGGAGAAAAGGCTCGCCCTAACAGATCAACACGGCATTGGTAGGCTTTCTTTCAAGGGGTTGAAAGGGGGTTCAATGGGTTTCATCGTGTTTCATCATCCAACAAACATGGGATGTGGGACCAAGCCCTCCAAATGGGGATTGCATGTTTCCACTGATTTCATCCTCCAGGGCTCCCTGGCGTGCTGAAGGAATCCAGCTGCGGCAGTCGACTTCCCTGCCCGGCCCTGCCCCCCCTGGTATGTCAAAAAGCCATGTGGGAACCCCCGAACTTCAATCATTTCTCAGTTCGAAGTGTCCCAAACTGGCTCCCAAAGCCATCAAAACAACCCCTTTCTCACGACCTCTATGTGGTCTCGATGCAAACGGCTGGCCCACGCCTGTGGCACGGAACCAGCTTGCACAGGTGCTTCGAGCCCGGCGACCGCCTAGTTCGGGTCGGAACCAGGCCCTGTTTGAGGGCATCGAATCATAATCGAATTATATCAATCGAATCATAATCATTAATCATATCACTAAGCATCGAATTTATTATTTGTTGATATAATTGATGCTTAATTGTTGGATTTGCTTTCATTTAGAACATGTTAGAACTATAGTAACTATATACAGTATACACTACAGTATACATATCTACTGACTGATGGTTGACCATTATTTAGCTTGGGACTCAGAGCTGAGTAGAAAAGAATTAACATGACAGAATGACTTTAACGACCGGGTCGGATTTGTGACTTGTGGCCGCAGTCATGTTGAGTAAACACACCACATCATCGATCACACAACATTTGCCCACGCTGTAAACACACCGTCACAAGGACTCTCACTCAAACAACCCATCATCACATTCCATCACCGTATGATGAATGGTTGAGCACAAAAAATATCTGAGGGAGCTCAAAGACATCATCCACAGCAACAAACCATGCTTTCAAAGCCATGGATTCCTCGAGCCACCCCCCCTCGTTTACTAAGTTACTGATCTGTTTAGGCCCGGCCTCGATGGCACTAAGCTTGCCGGCTGTCATGGCCTCTGCATACAACCACCAGCACCACAGAGAAATCCCAAAGCAGTCACTGGTCACTAACATCATCTCTCCCAATCCCAAGTAAACAAGTGTTTGTATTAATGTTGTTTTTTTTGTTTGGATGCGTTTTGACCCCAATCACTTGCCCATGAAGACCTCAACGCACAACGACCGCAGCGCCTGGATTCGAGTCTGCATCTCCCAGTGATCGGACCGCATGGATGGCGGGGGTGCAGCCTGAACCTGTCCAGGGGGGGGGTTACCAAAATCGATCCAACATAGGTGACCTGTCAATATTCATGGTGTCCCCTGGAACTTTCTGGAAGTATACCAAGCACAGCAAATCCGTTATACATATAATATATATACACTGTTTTCCATCGAGTCCTAACGTCTTGATTACGATATTCTTACGATGATCATATGAAGCACAGGGGGTGCCAGTTCTACTTGATGGATGGAAAGGCACTTCGTTCCTGGTCTCTCTAACTGAATTTCAGCCCTCCCTGTGGACTCTGCACGTTGGGGGCGCTCTTCGTGGTGGACGCTCCTTGGGTGCCGAAGACCGCAGCTCGGCCAGGACGCCCGGAGGCACCGAGGCGGCGGGGCCTGGAAGCGCGGAAGCCATTCATGTACCCCAGCATAACAAGTTTTTTCTTTTAATATACTATAGTTCTCATTATGATTAGATGAAGTGTTAGTTTGTAATGGTGTTTACATGTCATCAATGATCATTAATTACATAACATTACATGACGTGTCACTCAATACATGGTCCGTGTTTTGGTACATGGCTTATGTGTTTGTTGGACATACAGTAGTTGTTCAGTTTCCTTGCCATCAATACGCTTTGCGGTGTGAATGGCTAACAGTGGGGCACCCTCAAACATCCTCAAACTACAGTATTAACATCATATAGTGCTGTGCATCATGAAACCTCGTCATTTCAGCCACAATCTGTGAAGAAGTTGAAGAAGTTAACGTCACGTGTTTTGCTGTACGTGGCCACCCTTGCAACATCAAGCAAAACACGCTTCTATGCTGACATGATCTGTCAAAACAAGCGAATCCATGTGACGATGAGAACAGCCGCTACAGTAGCTAAGGTTGCTCGCTCCACCCCGCCTAGCAAACCAAGGTTGCTCGGTCCACCTTGCACAGGGAAATTGTGAGACCTTTTTGACGCTCCTCAACCTACCTTGTTCTGATCAAACGCCTGTTGGGTCACTTTCTAGCTGGGCTTGGCCTTTAGTCAAGACGTTCCGGGGCTCTCGGCACTTTGCACACTGCAGAGCACCACAGTTTGCACCTAAGACTCTGCCTACACAATCTTCAATCACCCAAACTCGACTTGTCTCCTGAAATGATTGGCAAGAAGCCACTAACAAAAACAGGGAAAGACACTTAGACTGCACAACAAACGTCTACGTGTCTAGGTCTATGATGGTCTATGCGCGATAAGCTTCAACCCCATCCAAAACCCGGTTGCATGTCTACTTCGCACGTAGGTTGCCTGAATGAAGGATGAGCAATGGTACTGGCAACAGGCAATTTGTTGCAAAATGTCTGCAATCATCCCATCCAATGACCCAATCTTGCTTACACACACACACAGTCCATCTCTGTACACACGGTCTCCCCATGCCTAAGCCGCTGCCATTACCCGAAGCCTGAGGTGATGGCACTGGCACCTTTGCTCTTCTCACCTACCTCCCATTTACATCCCATTCACTTATATAGTCCAAAAATAGACCATGTCCTCATGCGAAGCAAGTGCGAGAAAAAAACACAAACCTGTGGGAACATCAGACTTATAGGGGTCTGTGCAAAGTTCGACCAATATCTCTTCAAGGCCCCAGCTAAGCCAGGTAAATGACCTCCTGAAGCAAGGGACCCTGACACCTAAGGTCTGCCGTGCAAAGCTGCAATGTCAAAGCGTAACGTATTCTATACATTCGTTACGTAGCTGCATAGCTGCTCCTCGTGTGCGTCGAATGCCAATCTCCACGTTTCGTCTGTCGATCATCCGTGCCCGGCTTAACAAAAGTCTCACCGACTGGTCTGCATGGAATGGAGTTTGCCACACTTGACCACATGGAATCTATGTAGTCACTCAGGAGACTCAAATGGTCCTTAAGTCGAGTTTGTTTTTAGAGTGCAGAATTCAACCACCTATGGTTACATAATCATAAAAATGCGGTATGTATATTATAAATGTATAGATATAATATCATGAGATATTATTAATTATGAGTTATCATTCAGGCCCCAGCATTTGGCAATGGCCCTGACACCTAGGACAATGATCAAGCAACGCACATGTTGACAGAGTCAAGGTGAGACAAAAGTTCAACACAACTCAGCATAGAATCATAGAGAAGGGTGAAGGGTGTGAGTAGACTGCAAATCTAGGTTTGGAAGGAAATATGTTTGAACAAAGCTGTCTCTAGAACACTTTCCAAGCAACTGGTTTGATGCTTGCCCAGTCTAAAGTCCGCTGTGGCATCGTCTTCTTTGACAAACAGCTAGCAACCTCCACCAATCTTCTGTCTATAGGCCTCCTTACCCCTGAAAGCCCTGCAGGCAATGTAGGCATCGATGTGGCAAGCGCTGGCGCCGGAGCCAGCGACGCCATGGCAGTTGTCGCCGTTGGTGCTGTCATCGCGGGTGCGGCCATGGCAGGCGCCGCTGTTTCCGCAGGCGCCATGAGGGGGTTTGCAGCCGGCACGGGGGGAAAGCGTCGCAATGGGGCCTTAGGACGGGCGCTCCAAGAGGCCTTTGGAACCGTCTGCCATCCTACCGTTGCTTTTGGCAAGCATCACACGAATCACACCGGAAACAGAAGCGTCCAAACCAGTTGTTTAAGGTCGGTGGTACCGACAAATCAAAGCAAAGGCGCTTGATGCAGGAGTTGTACTGCTTGCACCTGGCGGGGGTGGGTTTTGCCCACTTGGGCGGTGCTTTTGCAGGACCAGACCCACAGGTCTGCCTGCAAAAGGAACGCATGGAAACCAAACAAGTTTTTCTTCAAAAGCATGCTCTCAACGCTGTGGGCAACCTGCCCTGCTTAAGCCCTACTTATAACTTTCAGGCCAGCATCGCCAGAATTGCCAAGGAAAGTTATAGCTGGTGCAGGCACAACACGGGGCGTGCGCTGAAACAGGTCTATTCCTCGAAGTTGCTGTGTCTTAACTGTGCGGTGCCCGGCAGAGTCATTGGCCATGACACGCACAAGCTAGATGGGAAGAAACACAGCAACCTCAATTACAACAAGGCTGATAGTGCCGCGCCAGGAAAATTGAGTTAAAGCTATGGCTATATTATATACACTTGGGATGGATCAGGGGCCTTCAGCTTGTTCAAACTTCTTCTTCAAGCTACTGTGGGAAGGCCTCTGGTGAAACCCTTGCTCAAAAAAGCGTTGGGACGCATACATGCAGCTCGGGCTTGAAGCCAATGTTCAACACGATGGACTCCACATCGGTACGGATGGCCTGGCCGGCCAAAATCACTTGACTGCCAAACTGCAACTCCTTGGCCTCTACGTTGAGTGTTCTCAAAAGGTCTGCGATGGTTGTACCTGGAATAAGCCTATACGTAACACAGCCATAGCAACTTTATGTCGTATTTGTTTTGTCAACTTTCTACTGCTTTTGGTAACTTTCAACTTATATATGTTGACTATATATTTCTTTTTAAAGTTGCAAGTTTGTTTTACAACTTCTTCTCTGATCACAACTCGAGGAATGCCTCAGCAAATGAGGGATCCAGCTCGATGGCTTTGTTGTAGTCTTGATGGCCGCCTCGTAGCTGTCAAGGATGGCCTTGCATAGTCCGCGCTGCTTGAGCGCAGCTGCATTTGTAGGATTGAGCTTGAGGGCCTCATCAAAGTCCTCGATGGAGGCCGTGCACCTGCCAATGATTTTCTGCGTGAGACCCCGGTTGTAGATTGCAGCTGCATATTGGGGAACCAGCTCAATAGCCTTCTCGAAGTCCTCCATGGCCGCCTTGTAACTGCCAAGGGCGGCCTTGCA